CTATCACCTCTGCAGTGTTGAATTCATACAGCCACCTACTTGCTGCCACACATTAATGATGCATATTAAATGGTATCGCATAGATATGCACTGCACTGTTTTTACTGCGAGCCCATGCTAAGGGATGGCTCCTTGGTTTTAACATATATTTTCTGCTGGCCAACTTGCTTCTTCAGGAGAGTTTGCTGGATTCAGATCATTAGCCTCTGGGTTAATTAGAATATCTGTTTCTCATGCCTGTTTATTTCTTAGTTTGTTCAAATCCATTTTTTCAATGCGGATTTAATGCTCATAAAATACTGCCCTCACCTCCCTGAAACTGAAATAATTTAATAAGGTCCTGACTCGAATGTTTCTGCCAGAGAGTACCTATTGTAATGGTGGATGACAACAAAAAAGCAGGTGCAAAGGGCTGCTCAGTTAAACCACAGCAAAATCCATACATTATCCAGTGTGTGACTATGGTGTTATTTGGTTGTGATAAACTCAAGAGCATCAGCTGAAATGAAAGGAGGCGACACAACAGAAATTACCTGTTCCTATTCAACACCAAGTCGAAGACCCGAAGGTGAGAGGGAACAAATGAAACTGAAAATCGTTTAAAGATAAACAGTGTCCCAGTAACATGATGATGTCTGTGGAAACAAACCTTTGTATGGAATAGTGTCTCTAAGGGAGATGGATAATAAACAAAAGAAGCCAGTTTGATTTGAAGAAAATGCATGTATTTTTCTCTCTGCCATTTCTTGTGGGTGGCAGCATACATGTGGATACAATCAGTGCCTGTATTACAGGATCAGGTGTCTGCCTGGAAAATAAAGGGTATTCTGGCAACAGACCTCTTCTGTTTGTTATTGCAGAGTTAGAACAAATTCTGCATTTGTATTTGCAGCCTTTGCACATTTTTGTAGTCCAATTAATTTAAAGAAAGAAATAAAATTAACATGGATTGATTTTAAGGGCCTCTTCACTCTGTCTTCTACCTGGTAACCTGAAAAACTGGCAGCAGGACTTAAGTTTGAAACACTGTGTTAATGCAATGCCTGTTTCATCACCTCTCCTGGATGGATGTTCGTTCCTGTGAGCAGCCTAAACAAAAACAAAACGACCATGGCCTCCAGTCAAACATGGCTGCTTTTCTGGCAGGCTGCATTGAAAGAGCAACTGTGCATGAATGCGGGCTTTATTAAACCTGGTCTGATTTAACCAAACACAAGCCCTTGTGCTCTGCTTAGGGGAAATGGTGAAAGTGTCAGGAAGACAGCATTCTCCTGGAGAAGCTGGCTGCTCATGGCTTGGATAAGTGCACTCTGCACTGGGTTAAAAACTGGCTGGATGGCTGAGCCCAGAGAGTGGTGGTGAATGGAGTCAAATCCAGCTGGTGACCGGTCATGAGTGGTGTTCCCCAGGGCTCAGTGTTGGGGCCGGTCCTGTTCAATATCTTTATCGACGATCTGGACGAGGGGATTGAGTGCACCCTCAGTAAGTTTGCAGATGACACCAAGTTGGGTGGAAGTGTTGATCTACTGGAGGATAGGAAGGCCCTACAGAGGGACCTGGACAGGCTGGATCGATGGGCCGGGGCCAACTGCATGAGATTCAACAAGGCTCAGTGCCGGGTCCTGCACTTCGGTCACAACAACCCCATGCAACACTACAGGTGGGGGGAAGAGTGGCTGGAGAGCTGCCTGGCAGAAAAGGACCTGGGGGTGTTGCTTGACAGCCACCTGAACATGAGCCAGCAATGC